CCTGCTTATTGCGTTGCTGGGGAATCTCTCTGCTCCCTAGGCCTGGCTGTGGGGAACTTGTAAACTACTGGGGATGCTTTTTTATTTTCTGGGGACATTTCTTATGGTCACTGGCAGGTGCATTCTTTGTTCTTCTTATTCTTATTATCCATTTGTATTACAGTAGCGCCTGGGACCCACCGCTGTGGACCAGGACCCCTGTGTGCTAGGCGCAGTACATTGTCATTGCTATTTCTTAAGTTAGTTTGGGAGTCCACCCCAGTGGATCTGGCTCTCAGCCATTGATAGACCCATGTCCCGCCAGAGGCCGTGGGTCAAGCTCTGGGGCAGGGAGATAGCATCTTGCCTAGCACAGGCACATGTGTGAGATTGTCTGGGCTGCCTCCTCCCACTTACCGTGATGTCACTTTGGAGCCTGGTGGCTGCTGCCGTCAGGGAGCCTGGGACATGCCAGATGCAATTAAAGACTCAATTTTCCAATAGGTTTCCCAGCGACTGTACGGCAAGGAGAGCTCCTCTCCTGGGGGACGGTGCAGATGGCTGAGCCGAGCAAAATGGGAACCGTCCCATGCGTGCTGGGGAATAAAACGGCGTTGAGGCAGGGAGTGGGGGGAGACTATTCCTCCTCTTGGCTTTGAGTGGCGCAGGGAAGCGGATGGGAGTCTAGATCCAGGGTGGGACCTGACTCTTGGGGGCTTCAATTGTTGTGTCTATTTGCCAGCTGGTGGCCAGACACTAGCATGGACCTAATTGATTAGACATGTCCTACATCGGGGGGGCTTGCTCGGTGTTTGCCCTGCACGCACAGGATCCTTGGGGGCCTGTGGGCAGCAGCTCTGTTGGGCGAGTTGGACTGAGCTTGCCCCAGCAGAGCAGGTAGGAGCCGCACTCCTGGTTGCAGGGGCTGGGCTAGCCTGGGGGTTGCCTCCCTCTAGCCAAGCTGGGAGGAGCAGCCATTGGAGGCTGGCGAAGCGTGAGGTGGGCCGCGCTGATCCAGCCCCTCTGCCCCTGCCCCAGGTGGCTCTTCCAGAACCCAGGGCTCGATTCTGGGCCACATTTTGCAGGAGGTGCAAACCAGGCAGGGACGACAGGGGGCGTCACCTCACCCTTATGCCCTCGGAGCTCTGAGCTGCTCCCTGGAATGCAGTGTGGCCCAACCACATGCCCAGCGTGGGTGCCTCTCATGGCCTGGGCACGCTGCTCCACCGGGAGATGGGGGTGGCTTTGGGCTGCTCTGCTAGTCCCGCACCAGAGGGAAGACCCCTTTGCCCCAGGAGCATGGCCTGGGGTGATGTTCTGCCCTGGGCACCATGGGAGTAGCCCAGAGGAGCCTGAGCAGGGCCAGAATTGGCCTGCAGCCAGCACATGCAGCGAGTCCCCAGGCCAGCGGATGGATGTGCCTGAGGGATGCTGCCTCTTCCTTAGCGATAATCGTCTGCTTTCTGGATCAGTCACAGTGGGCTCAGGGCTGCAGTCATCTCCTATCGGTTGATTAATGGTCCCTGTCTGGGATTCACAGCTTGGCGAGCTCCAGAGCCTCCAGTGACTGACTGATGGGTAGCCCGACAGCCTGTCCCAGGAGCCGCTCCTCCTCCACAGCCTGAGGAGAAGAAGAGCGATGCTGTCTGCGGGGATCTCAAAGGGATACGTGAGCATTTACTGGAAGTCTCACCATGCCCCTGTGGATGAGCTGGGTAACTCACTGTATCAGGCCTGCTTCTCAGAAGGGGAAACTGAGTCACAGGAAAGTTAAGTGAGGGGCTCTAGGTCACCCAGCAAGACAGTGACAGAGATGGGAAGAGACCCCAGGAGGCCCAGAACCCAGTGCCTGCTGCAACCATTATACCACCCTTCCTTTCCAGAGCTGGGCATAGAAACCAGGGGTCCTACCTCCCAGTGCCTTCTGCTGCAATTGCCAGACTGCTCTTGGCTGGGATAAGCCCTAACCCGTTCAGATTTCTCTCTCTGTGTGTGTAGCTGGCTTCCCACCTCCCAGGACATGCTCTCTAAGGGCAGACAGCCTCTCATGAGACCATTGCTTGATCCACGTCAGGGTTCCAGGGCGGGAATCACTATGCTCCTTAGCACTCAACCTTCCACAGTCCGAGGTCCAAATGTGACCCGTGAGTCAGGGAGACAAAGGAAGGATGCCACCCACCTAGTGACTCTGGATCTGCAGTGCCTCAGTCGCCCTCACTCAGTCATGATGTTGGCAACTGGCTGGGGGATGGGGGAATGTTATATAAAGCCTTGATTCATTCTCCAGCCTGGGAGCCCCAGGGAGCATGACTTCCTGCTCCTGAGCAGGCAGAGGAGACAGGCAGCTGAGTGATCCTCCCAGCCCCCAGTCTGATTCACAGGGCCAGATCCTCCCTCTCTCACCCAAAACAAGATCTGTTTCACTGGAGCCAATGAGGTGACACCTGTGTCCATGACCAAAGGGCCAGGCCCAAAGGAGAAAGTAAGCAGAGGTCTAAATAAGAACCAAGGGCCTGATTCTAAATTCCTTGGGTAGGTGCAGGGAGCCTTTAAGCCACATTTGTGCTCCTTATACACTGGGGCTGTGCAGGAGCCTACCTGAGCCTGGGTGTAAGTTAGAGCAGCCTCAGGGGCTGCTCTAAACTTACCTCTGTTTCCCCTGACCTTCGTAAGGAGTGTCCTTCCTGGGTTAGGATAAGGCACATTGGTGGTGTGTCTTTGTCTGTGGGGCTGTGTGTGTGGGGGGCAAGCTTTGCCCTGCTATGCTTGTTCAGTGGATAATCAGAGGGCTTCAGCCTCTCTGGGGCTGTAAAAAGGGCATCTTCCACCAGCTCTCTGACTGCTGTCGATAACATCCCCCCTCGCCTAGCTAGAGAGCTAGACTAGGGAAGGGTGGAGGAGGAATAAAGGTTTTATTGGCACATGTGTGGGACGGTCCCTTTCCTCACCAACCACGGTGGGGCTATGTGTGGGTGAAATGCTGGTAAATTTCACACCAGCCGTTGCTGATATTTAAAAGCACAAAGAAGTGAAATATCAAAAATCCTCCACTGAACCCTGAGCTCTTGCTCTATCCTGCTGGCTGTCTCTGAGAGAGCCTCTCAGACACTGGGGAAACAAAGCTGATGAGATGAGTGGATTCACAGAAAGGTACAGAAGCTGCAAGCCAGAGCCCAGGCATCTTGCTGTTGGAGAGGAACTAAGTCGGTTACAAACAAAGTTGCAGCCAGAAGGCTGGGATGCAAATGGGTTTGGTTTTCTGGTCTCCAGAGATGCTTTATAGCAGCATGAGCGCCTGTCTTTTAGTTGCATGAACCATGAGCACTTGCCAGGTGTCTCTGAAATGCCACCTTCTGGGCCCCTCCTTTGGAGGCAGATGAGTCTAGTGGTTAGAGCAGGGGACTGGGAGTTAGGAAAGTCATTTTTCCCCACTCTGCTGCTGACTTTGGGTGTGAGGTTGGCTGTGTCACCTCAGCTCCCTGTCTTGGTTTCCCCAGTCTGTGGAGCGGGGTTATATTTATCTACCTTCATGGAGCGCTTGGAGAACCTCAACTGAAAAGCATAGCAATGCTAGGGCCAAGGATTTTAGTGGCACTGCTTTATTGTTCACTCCAGGAATCAGTGAGGGGCGTGTGGGGGGGTGTCTGTGCGGGTTTTCTTGTGCTGGGATATGTCACAGGGCAGGAGTCTGCCATCCACAGCATTGGGTGGGGTGTCCAAAAAATAAAGGAGTAAACTTCAAAATCAGTTATTTATTGGGGCTGAAATTCACCCCTGTGCATAGAGCCAGCACCCCAGACTACAAACCCTTTGTGCCCAGCCGGGACACAGTGAAATGTTCAACACAGACTTTCTAAATGAGCTATGTTTTCAGCAAAGGGACCACTAGAGGGAACAATGAGCACACTAGAGAGCAAGGGGCTGCACTACACTAACCTAAACTTTCTAATCTGTACTCTTTTCAAGCATTAGATGGTTTTCTCCTAAACAGGCACCGTAAGGAGAAGATCGGTTCATGGCCTGACACACCTGCATTCCTTTCTCACAGTCCGGTCACTGCAGGTGCAAGGGCCTCCTCCCCTGTAGCTTCTGACATCTGGGATAGATTTTAGGTACCTCCACCTCTTTTACTCTCCATCTGACCCTGAAGCTCAGGCGGCATGTGTTTCCTCTCTTTCGCAAGCTCTTGCTACCTCTTTCCCCTCTGCTGTCACTCATTAGCGCTCTGCCTGCATGATTTCGCTCTGGAAAGGAGCTGGGGACACAGATCGCATGAAAGATGGACAACAAAATAAAGGTGAATGTAGATTTTGGCTTCATGGCTGGATGTTTTTCTAATGGCCCAACTGACCTATTTCTAGGCGACTACAGCTGAACGCCGGTGGCCTTGCCCAGGGTCAGAGGCGGCATGGTTTGGGCCAGGCCTGCGCCGGCAGTCACGGCGTCAGGTCGGGGTGGCGGGTGGGCGAGGGACCTTTCCATGCCGGCAAAAGCCCCCGTGTAGACGCCGCGTTGTGCGGTTCCGGGGGGCCCTGCCGGAGAGGCCTTGGCCCTGCTGGGCAGGGGCGCGGAGCCCCCCCGGGGGCCAGTGGAGAGAACGATCCAGAACGGATCCCGGTGATTACTAAGAGCTCAAGCCAGGCTAACCAACAGATGTTAATTGCGTGAACCCTTAACAGTGAATAACTAATCAGGGCTCACATAGGGGCTCATTTAAATAAATGTAAATAACCCGCCCGCAAAAACACCAGTGAAATGATCACATGCCCCCCCCACCACCTTGCGGATCAATATTCATGAACTTCATTTGAATGCCCCGCCTTCTTTTGGCTCCTTGTGCTCTGATTGGCTAGTTCCTTTGTCACTCCCTGGCCCGCCGCCCGGCCCCTCCTCTCTTGCTCCCCGTTACTTGGAGGCCCCGCTAAGAAGGTTGCAGCCTAACCCGGCGGCTGTGCCGGGCCCCGCCTTCCTCGTTGGGGTGCTGGGCGCTGATTGGTCCTCCCGTGCTGTCAGTCACGCCGCGGGGCCCCCACCCCGTCCCCGGCTGGGGCTCAGCAGCAGGTTGGGTTGCGCGGCGGAGGTTGGTGTCTGAGGCGGCCGCGGGCTCCCCTCCTCCGCCCCCTCGGTGCCGCGCGGAGGGTGAGGAGGGGCCGGGCCCCGGGGCGGGTGGGGTTCTCGCCCAGCCCGGGGAGGGAGCGACGGGAAACCCCGGCGCAGGCCGCGGCCTGGCGGAGCCCCCGCCCCAGGGACCCCCTCGGGGCCCGGCCGGGCCGGAAGAGGGGCGGGCGTAAGGGGAGGGGTACGGGAGTGGGGTGGTGGGGGGAGGAGGGTACGGGGATGGGGAGGTTGGGGGGAGTGGGGTGGTGGGGGGAGGAGGGTACGGGGATGGGGGGGAGGGTGGGGTACGGTGGGGGGAGGTTGTGGGGAGGGTGGGGTGGGGGATACGGGGGTGGGGAGTGGAGTGGGCAGACAGGGTTGGGATGGCAGTTGGGGGTTAAGGGGTAACGGGGCATGTGTGGACATTGTGGGGATAAGAGGGTAACAAGGGGTACTGGGGTAATAAGGGAGTGGCCATGTAGGGGGATAAGGGGACATGTGGAAGTCCTGGTTTAATGAGTGGAGGAATAGGGGGGTACTGGGTAATAAGGGTATATGCATCAGGGGAGAATGGAGGAGTAGGGGGCATGTGAGGATACTGGGGGAATAAAGGGGAGCGGAGGGTTGGGGAGCGGAGGGTAATGAGGGGCATGTTGGAATCCTGGGGGGAATAAGGGGGTGTTGGCATGTGGATGGGTGAGTTTGGGGTAATAAAGGGGCATGTGGGGGTTCTGGGGTAATAAGACAATAGGTCTGTGGAGTGGGAGAATAAAGAGGAATGTCAGGGTAATTAATGGAGGAATGTGGGGAGTTGGATAGGACCATTTTTAGATAACTGGGGAGCAGGTACTTGAGGATATAACATGGGTATCGGGGACAGCTGGAGAGCATGGGGGTAATATGAGTTGTATGTGGGACTGGTAACATGTGAATATATATGTATATGGTTATAGTGTGTTGGGAGGTAGCGAGTGTGGCGTATTGGGGAGCTGTTAAAGATGTGGGTGGGGTATATCACTGGCAAGGAGTTGATGGCTGGTTGAAGGTGGTACTGGTAGCTTTCCTGTTCTTTTTGGGGAGTATTTTGGAGGGGTGTGTGATGGATTGTAAATCACAGGCTAGTTTAGGGAGGAGTAATTGTGCTGATCAAGGTTTTTCATTTTTATGAGGTGGGGGCTAGACAGGTAATGTCGGTGTTGCAGAATTTGGTATGGAAGCCAAATACTAGCAGGTGTTCTGGGGGAGCAGGGGGGATTAGGAAGGGAAGAGTTTGTGGGAGGGGGGTGTTATGGCTCATTCTGGAGGCAGTGGATTTCCTCTCAAAGTTGTTTCATTAGGCTGTGTTGGAGGGTCTAAACACTCATGTTTTTTGTACTAGGCCATTGCTAGCAGATGTGATTTTAAAATAGAAACAAAGAGGGAAATAACTAATTAGGTTATAGTCTAGTGTTAGATTTATTCTGTTCTTTGTATCTTTTTATATTAGTGATTGTTTTGAATTATTCAAATTCCCTGTCAGTACAGCTTTTTAAAAAAATAGGGTGGAATTGCACTTGATGGATGGTTCTTGGTGAAACTGACAACCTAGAACTATTTGTTTATAGGTGTAGGTATTTAAAAAATGTACTTTGACAAATACAACTCTGGTGACTTTACCAGTAGAGGAGCTGACTTCCTCATAGGCCACAGGAAGCAGTAATTTGATATTTAATCTGAGTCCATCCAATTCTATAAGAGAACTTCAAGTAACTGTTCTTGTGTTTTTCTTTTGAAGCATATTAGCTTTCAGGACATTCTTAGCCTTACAACAGCATGGCAGTGAACTAACACTCATTCTGCAGATTTAAAGCATATTCTTAACTTTATGCACTGTGCGTAGTTCCAAGTGGGTATTTTTTTGTAGGTACTGGGGCCTAAATCTGTTTGCTTTATGAAGGTGTGCTATCTGCTGCAGTTTAACTTCATGGTGTTACCTAGATTACTTCAACCGTATTTATGGCCAATATAAAATATATTACACAAAATAACACTAGTTAAATACTTAAGTATAGCTTTTTGTGTTTAAGTTTCTCTCATGCATTTTGTAGCTCTAAACCAAACAAGAATAACACTTTCTTTGTTTGTGGTTTTCCAAGTGTTGTAACATGTTACAACTTCCATAGGAAGCAGTTTTTAAATGTACCTCGTGTTCCATTTGTAATGTTCCTTATTTTCCCCCTTGATGTAGTGTTTATACTCCATATAACTTCAAAATATTTTAAAAGCATTAACTAGATGCTCACAACATAGAGGGAGTTTTACAGGTGAGGAAACTGAGGCACACACTGACTTGTTCTAGTCTAGGACAAGCAGAAAGGATGAGTTGTTAGGCGCTAGCTTGGGACTTGGGAGACCCAGGGTCAGTTCCTTACCCTACACAGACTTCCTCTGTGACCTTGGGCAAATAATTTAATCTCTCTGGGTCATAGTTGCTTATCTGTAAAATGGAAATAGGGCAATGTTACTATCTCACAGGGGTACTGAGGATAAATACAGTAAAGATTATGAGGTGCTTGGATACTGCTGTAATGGGGGGCTGGATAAGATCTAAAGATATGGGAAAATAGTGTCAGGACTGAGAATTTGGGGAGTTCTAGCTCCTGACTCCCAAACTCATGCTCTAGCTACTAGACACTGTTCTCCTCAAACTTGAGCAGACTCTCTGGCCTTCAGAAAGTATTAAATGCCATTTTCCCCCCGCTGGTTAAAGTAGCCCACTACTTTGTAAAATGAAAATCACATAACTGAATTTGTCACTTTTAGTAATAGGGGAAATCATGATTCCTCATACTGAAAGACATCTTATTAGCACAGTGGCTGGTCCTTTGAGCCTTGGTGCTGGCAAAATGCCTCGGCTTAACTGGTTGTCATTAGAATAGTTTATGCTTTGTGCAAGGCTTGAAATAGTCACTTGTCCACTTACCAGTAACTAGTGGGAAGTTTTCCCTAATGTGTTCAGGAGGGGGTGGAGAGAAGCAGAATTTAAGCTGCCATTTTAAAAAAAAATACCTTCTTGTCCTTTCAGTTGTGAAGAAATGTGGGCCTGTGTAGTGTTATCTTACTGAATTTGCAGACCCTGGTGCTGTGTAGAATTGACAACTGATCAATTTCACTGCTGCTATCAGAACCCTGGGGGTAGCAGTAAAGCTGAAAAACAATCATGACAGTTTCACTGTCTTGCTGCTTGGAAAAAGGCAGGCTCTGGGGGAGGATGGCCCAAAAATGGTGGTTGCAAGAATTGTAGAGAAACAGTCCACAACAGATGAGGTATTCTGGGGTTAGGGCAGCTGAGGGGTAGGACGAGAACTCCTCTTTAAGAGCCGTAGGGGGACTTAATTTTATCAGACCCCTGCTAAGAAGATAGTGATATGAGAAGTGAACCCCTTGCAGAGTTTCAAGCGGGGTTCTAGGATAAGAAGCTATAAACAGCAGCTTGCTCCAGTCCATGTTTTTTTGCCTGTCAATGCTAAAGGTTTGCACCAATCTAACTAGAGTGGTGGCTAGCTATGAATGCTTGAAATCCTTTGTCTGCACAAGGTCTCGGTTTCCCCATCTCTAAAACAGATAAAAGGGTTGAGGCTTGACTGGCTACTGTTTGAACAGGTACTTTGAAGTGTAAAGTGTTAAATTATCATTTGCCTTGTCTAATGTGTTTTGACATGCTTTTTTTAAAATTGGGTGGTACCCTGACCAGTTGGTTGTCAGAAAGTGTTGAATTTGAAAATTGCTAGTATGACTGTTTTGTAACCCTCCTGATAGGTTGAGAGACCTAACAGGTGGTAAATACTATGTTGCCAAGGTGATGTGATGTTCTCCTCCTCCTTTGTGGGTCTGACATTTTGCACATCAAACTAAGAGAAGATATTAAAGGGGGGAGGGAAATGAAGATTAAGAAAAATGTAAGTAATGTTCCTTCCCACACTGCTCTGTGGTCTCACCTGGTTAATAACCTAAGCCTGTTAGAGGACTACCAGCAAAGCTGAAGAAGGGCATAATTTTTACCCACGTCTTCATGCTGGTATCCTCCGCTTGTTAAAAAAATTACCCAAACTTTTGCAGCATAGATAAGATTCAAAGGGCCAAGTTCTGCCCTTGGATTCATGCATGAAACTTTTGACTCCAGTGGGAGTTGCATGTGCATTGCATATGCATATCTAATGGTAGAACTTGTACCAAATTACTCTGGGCTAGCCTACAATATTGAAGTGAGTGCCTTAGGTTTTATTGCTATCACGTAAGCATTTCACCTTTCTATTTGCTCCATCCAGGTCAGCTAAATAGGTAGCTGTGGGAGAGGTGCTGTGGTACTGCAGCAGCTCTGCCTCTGTTTACCCAATGAAGTCTTCAGGACACTTTGTTCATGGATGTGGCTTTGATGTGGGGACTTCAGTACCTCTGAAGTCTAAGACCAACAAACAAAAAGAATCTTTGGGCCTGGTGGCTTCAACTTTCAGCCCCCTTCCTCTCAGGTGGTCCTCAGCTGCAGTGGCTTGGCTTAATGACTACCAGCCAGTTCCTGGTAACAAATCAAACTGTCTGACCTACCCTTCCGCAGGAAGGCTCTGGCAGACTGTAGTCTTCAGTCACCTCCGGGGCCCCACCCAGGCTTCTTTCTGAACGTGGGGACTGCCAGTCTGCTTTCCTTCCCAGTCAGGGCCAAACTGAGCTGTGCTCCCTCCTTTTAACACCTTCTTCCATGCCTGAGGCCCAGCACAGATGTAGGGGGGCTGGTGGGGGCTCCATGCAGCTTATTAACCTGTTCCTGACCAGTGTGGGGTTTGTATATCCCAGCAAGTATCTTGACAAAATATACAAGAATAGACTGATAAACTTGGATGTATATGTTGCATTTTCTTTAAATACACCAGTTATGCACCTTTATTTCATGCATGAGTTTTTGAGGTTTCTAGTATTTAAACTTCTTATATTATGGGAAAGATTATCATGGGAAAGGGGTGTCTTTGTTTAGCCTTATTTTTAGTATTACCTGTATTTTGTAGGGT